ATCTCGCTGCATATCTTTTAACTCGTAATTACGCGTTACACCATGAAATCCGCAATATATACAACGTCCATAATGTGTGCGGCCTGCATGGTCGCAGAAAACAGCTAAGTGTAGTCGAGTAAATTCGGCGCATAAATTAATTTACACACCATACGTCAGTATTACGCGCGCTATTTTACTCATAAACAAACCCTGTAAAATTCACTCATCTCCGTGAAAAAGACTGGATAAATAATCCTCACTGTGTATCTATACCCTTCTGGACAATCGTGACATCGTGTACATGAACCATGTAATGAACATGACTTCTCGAGTGGCTCTGCACGAACATGCAATCTAACGCGGAAAGGGGTCGCCACTTCTCTAAACAATTGCAGTGGTGCTGGAATACTCCCTCAGCTACCAAAATGCGAGCGGCCACATTTTACGGACGGAGGGCGTGACTCCTCCTCCGTGATCCCGCCTACATCGTCGTCTGTTCGCCGAGTCGCCCTGCGTTATTCGTATGACACAGATCCATAGATGGGCCGACAGAACTACTTGCAATTATCTGTCCGCGTAGAGCAATGTAAGTGTGAGCAGCTGTCGTGTGCGCAGATGAGGCCGTCTGTATCTACGAGAGTACTGCAAGTAGACAGTATTGGCCAAGTACATCGGGAGAATAACTCATCCCTCACGCACCAGCCTTGCACCTAAACCCATGCTTCAGCATAGGGGAGAAATGCATGTGAACATATGCGTAAACATACCACGGTGACCATGATTGATCCATCGATACCGTGTTTGCACACGGAGCAACAGACAGCATAACTTCGCTAGGTTATGGCATAGAATCTCTATGGTCTGACTTACCCACAGCTACAGACAGCACGGGTTTGCTAATACCCGTGGCAGGACTCCACACCCGGCCTGACTGGACTCGATCCTCCGCTAGGGCTTGTGGCGACTACGGTGGGGACGGTGGTACTTGCTTCCGCCGTGATGCTTACCTGTTGATTTCCAACGCTGGCAGAGGAGTCCTTGTCTCCGGCTCTTCGGATCCCACAAGTGCCAGTATGCCTGACCCTTATATGTACCGGCAGCCAACCTAATGAACAAAGGCGGAAGCTCTGCCTCCAGCTGCAGCATTCTGCAGATCGTTGCGTCAGCCTCTCTCCATCGATGTGTGGATCTCCTATGCGCCAGCATACCTTCCATCGGTGCCTTCACAGGCACGGGGATTTTGCTGACGAGCATAGAAACCCTGGTCTTCTTCTGCACCTTCACGGCAATTCGCTGAATTTCGCCAGATGGTGGTGCGGCTGGCTGCCCACGGTACTGGTGATGCTACTCTCACAGATGCATGGTGGTCTGCAGTTCAAACAACCCCGCCTAATCCGGCGCAGATCCCCTTGCCTGTGCTTGGATGACAGCTAGGCAATTACGAGGTTTCTCAGCAGCCATTGATGTCCTTTCCTACATGCAACTACGGCGCCCACGACGGGGTGTGATATGGCGGAGAACTGCGCAGTTCGATGGGCGAAACGCCATAACTACTACAGTGTATCGGACGCGACTGTTCCTTGCCGCTCTCTCCATGGCGGCTATAGTTGGTCGGCCAGGTTCTCCCGCCCCCAGAGCTAAAGGCCGCAGCCTATCCGCCCAGCATTACTTAGCCTTGACTTTTGCGAGTTCAGCTTTGCTACGGGCTTCTTGCTATTGAGCTCCTCGGGCGTATCAATAGAGCCTGCACGTCTATCTCGCCGGATAAGCCGAGTCGCTGTTCAGGTCGTCCTGGCAGGTCAAACACTCGCACTGCGGCCGGGCGCGATGAGTCGTCGCGACAGCGGCGAGTAATTGTCGGAGCGCGTAGGCGACGTGCTCGCTTCAACCTCACTTCCCACGTGATGTCGTCATCGGTGTGGCGTCGATCTACGGCCCGGCGACTCTCTTCTCCTATCTCCGCTTGTGGCCGTATTTCGTCCGCCTCCCTTTACTGCGCACACGAGTCAGAGGGTATCCTGTATCTTCTTATGCTCCTCCTTCTGCTTTTCTCGGCGGGACTGATGAGCCGAGCAATCTCACTGTTTGCCTGCTCGACACTCTCATCCCAATCATAAACTGACAAGTCAAAAGGTGTCTCCCGCACGGGAGCCGCGCGTAGGGCCTTGACACGCCTACCAGCGCTCTCCGTCCGACTCACGTATCTGATAATTTCACCTGAATACCTGCAGTCCTTCGCTGCGGCGCCGGCAGGCCATGATGGCCTTCACAATGATACCAGTTTCTCGATTGCCGGCGCTCGTGCTCGAGTGCCTATGCGATGATGCTCAGCCTAGTCCCGTCCGCAACCTTGACGAGGCGACTTGCGGAACACGTCCCTCTATCTTCTCGACGCGTTTCTCGAGCTCGTACTCGGCGGACGCGCGCGACGGCGATCGTCGTTCCCTTGCGGCGCGTCGTAGATCGTGACCGCACGTGCTTGAACCACCTCGATGATTCTGTACAGAACGATGACGCGGGATGGATGCTTGGTTCGATATCGTCCTCTCATCTGGATGCGCTGAGATCTGGCCGTCTACGTCCTGCCCAACAAGGAATCGCTCCATGCTAGAAACATACTCGGCTCCGCCAAATCAGCGCTGTCGCCGGGGGCTATACGATAGCTTCGTGTAGAGGCATATTAGAGCACAAGCAACCAATACACCGCGTTTTTGTTGCGTTGCGACGTGAGGTTTGCGATACTATGCTGGCACGGGCCAGCGACAGCGTAAATCCAGTGAGACACGCCACACACACGCGCTGCTCTGCCTATCGCAATTTAGTTGATCTGGTCACGTACCAGTGTAATGCATTCCTGTTGCGTGAGCCTGCACGGCAGGTGACTGCGCCGTGAGTCAGGCCGAGTGCTTCAACACGGTTATATGGAGCCTTATATACTCGCTAGCCGTGGTGTATGTCCGTGGTGTAGGAGGGCCACACGAAACGTACACGTGATCCCGACGACAAGCCAAACTAAGAGCCAAAATCGTTACACCATCGGAGGCATTCAATGAAGCTGAAGCTGCACGCGCCATGCGCACACAGTAAGAAGCCAAACTAAGAAGCCAAACTAAGAAGCCAAAATCGTTACACCAGCTACATTGCCAGTTAGTTCTAATAGTAGTGCAAGGCATAGCAGAGGTGCAGTTAGATTCAAGGCATAGCAAAACAAGGACCACAATGTAAATAAGTGTGCTAGTCATGCTTTTTGTGTATATATCCTTGGTAATTATCCAATTTTATGAATTCAAATTTTTATTGTAAAAGTATGCAATGTATTGTATATGATGGATAATTGCCTAAATAAATATAAATAAATATTTAAAAAATCGCACTTTCCGACATAGTCGTTCAGTTTTCTTCCCGATTTTGACACTCAGTGTGACAGATTTTTCTAACCAAGCCCAGCGAAACTTGTTCCTCACATCTTTGTCAATTTCTGCTATGTTAGATGTGTCCGCCCTCTCAATTAATCTCACCATATTTAGTGGTCAAATGCACGAAAACACTGCTCGAAATGAATTCTGTTTCGATTTATTTTGCACATTCAAGCCGTGGTATACAATTAAGGCCTTCATCATTTTACATACGCCTCCACAGTACTTACACTGCAGACAGGCGTATTGTCTAGACGCATTGCCTGGTTCACTTGATACAATGTTATAATACACATCACATTTATGCTGGCGCTTGCAAAATTTATATGCTATTATTGCATAATGGGATTGCAATGTTACAGCCTGCTGTATATTACAATGTTATTAAATAAAGGTACTGTTGGACTGTAAAACGAAAATGTGTACATTCTAACACCAACCCTAAAATTTTCTCAACGGATTTAGACGTTTCACAAAATCGACCCTGGGACTGTGAAATCCGCGGATTTCCGCGGATCCGCAGAAGATTCCCATCCCTGTCAGTTTTAATTGAGCAACCATCGACGTACATTATATAAACGAAGTGTATATATGGGAGAACTCCCATTATATACTCTTGATAATTATATGTGTAATTGTTTATGTGAAAATAATAAATAATATTATATATATAAATTAGTAAATAATTTATAAACCCAAAATGAAGGTCGCAATTTGACGGTAGATGGCGCTATTACCCGCTTTGATGTTTCTTACATAAATCATTTATATCATAGATAAATATATTAATAATAATAGGATAAATCATAATGGTCCTAGGGCAGGAAATTTGCATCAAAAGATAATGTCATAGAATATTGTAAAACGAACCACGCACGAGTGTGAACAACAGACGTGTTTGTTATCTGCGTGTCTATATTAATATGCTATATAATTGCAAAACCCATACCTAATTTGCCAATAATTTTATCAAACCCGTACCCTGTATTCATTCACCATACCAAAAATGAGCAAATCCGTTGGAACCCTAACTGAATAAGCACTTGCCCATTTTTGCCAAAAAATGGCATGGCTCGAAAGTACGTACCTGGCGGTCTGCCAAAATAGGACGTTTAATATGGGAGGCATAGGCAGTACAAGCAACTATAGCCATTTCAAGCATGTGGGCAAACGCGTTTCTGAGTATCGTTGACTCGTAGCCAATGTCTGATGACGGGACAAACGACGGATGGACGGACGATGACCCATGGCAATAGCTCAGCTTGACGATGTCAAGGTGAGCTAAAAATCGCAGTGTAACGATCGAAATTAGACGAGAGCGAACTCGCCGGCGCCACCTACCAGACGTCGCTCCAGCCGTGATCTTCTTCCACAGCGGCGTGTGCGCGGGGTCGGTCGCTCCCAGCGCCACCTTCAGGGGCTCGTAGGCACCGAGTCGTATTCCGCTGTAGATGGCTTCGCGGATGAGGGATGGCAACAGCCTTTGCGTGAGGAAGCCAATGTTAACGAGGGCACGTTCGCTAGTCAATTACCGACGCGCAACCTCCGACGACCTCTACCGTCCTCCAACAACCTTTATCGACCTTCGAAAGCCTCGATTGACATTTATCGACATTTGAAAACCTTTACAAACCTCCGACCTTTATCGAACTTCAACAATCTCTGTCTCGCTTTCACGAGCACATCAACGGTAATAACTGGTAATGCGGGTTTGAAGCCAAGCATTTGTCGGCGTGTCAAAAATGGGCAGATGCCTGCAGCATTTAAAAGCTTAAGATTCCACAGACTTAACCCGGTTCTCCCTGATCATATTACCCTTGAGACGCAAACAAGATACATATATACATAAGGAGCAAATTTCAATCTTAAATTTTACATTATTTATCCCTGATATATACTCTGTGGATGCCTTAACCACATTACCCTTCATAAAGTCTGTGGATGACCCCTAACTTACATTACCCTTTATAGAGTCCGTGGACGCACCCTAACTTACATTACCCTTTATAGAGTCCGTGGATGCTCGCCTAGCTTCCCATTACCGCATTTATAGAGTCCGTGGGAGTGCCCCATAACTTAATTGACCTTTATAGAGTCCGTGGATGCTCCCATGCAGCCCTACATGACCTTTATAGAGTCGTGCGATGGCCCCCTAACTTACATTACGCCCTGTTATAGGTTGTGGAGCCATCCCTAGCTTACATTGCCCTTATAGAGTCGGTTGATTGCCCAGCCCTATACATGACCCCTTTATAGAGTCGTGGTATGTCCCCTAAGCATTAATTACCCTTTATAGAGTCCCTGTGGAATGACCCATTACCTTAATTCTCCTTTATAGAGTCTAGTGATGCCCATATGCGTGATGCCCCATAGCTTTACATACCTTTATAAGTCGGGGATGCGCTCTGGCTTTACATTACCCCTTATAGAGTCCCGTGTGATGCTGGCCTACTTACATTACCCTTTATAGAGTCCCGTGGATACTGCTGGCTTACATTACCCTTTATTAGATCCGTGGATGCCCCTAGCTTTACATTACCTTTATAGAGTCCTGGATGCCCTAGCTTACATTTACCTTTATAGAGGTCGTGATGCGCTAGCTTACATTACGCTGTTTATAGAGTCGCGTGGATGCCTATTCTTACATTACCCTTTATAGAGTCCGTGGATGCCCCCTAGCTTACATTACCCTTTATAGAGTCCGTGGATGCCCCCTAGCTTACATTACCCTTTATAGAGTCCGTGGATGCCCCCTAGCTTACATTACCCTTTATAGAGTCCGTGGATGCTCCCTAGTTTACATTACACTTTATAGAGTCCGTGGATGCCCCCTAACTTACATTACCCTTTATAGAGTCCGTGGATGCCCTCGTCATGCACTATCTGGATGGCGCCTCGCACCCAGCCGTGGTAGTATCGCTCGCGGAACACGGCGACGCCCTTGCCACGCTGCTCGGCTAGCTCATTGTCCAGCTGCATGCGCACCTTGATGACATCGATTGGGTTCGTCGCTGCAATATGGCCACCGAGTTACACTTGTTTTATTTATTCCTTCATTTTACATTAAAAAAAATTTATTCTACTATTTTGGTGGTGGTGCTTGTGCTGCTGCTTCTGCTCCTGGTGGTGGTACAGCTGCGGCTGCTGTTATTGCTGTTGTTGCTCTTGTTATTGTTGTTATTGTTACTGTTAATATCACTGTCATTATTACAATTAGTTTTGTTGTTGTTGTTGTTGTCATTGTTGTCGTTGTTGCTGACGACGTAGGTATGATCATGTACACATCTATTTACACAATAGATATGTTCATGGTATTGTGGAGATTTCAGGGGGCTGACGTCATACAACAAAATTTCATTACTCACAGGCAAGCAATCATATGATTACAAGAATTAAAAGTTCCCCAGCAACAGGTAAAAAGTTTCCCCCAGTAACAGAGATAAGCGAGGGGAGGGGGACAGCTACCAGATGTGGGAGGTAGAGGAATTGCGCCGCCCGTGCACGTGACGGTGGGGGGGGGGCAACGTTTTCAACTCATAACACTCCGAATTTTTAGCTTTCTTTTTGTTTTTTGTTGTATGTTTCATTGTTTGTTTTTGTTGTTTGTATTTGCCTTCTCAGTGTAGTTTCGTTGATTGCATATTAATGATTTAATAGACTTTATTATCGCCCGCATTTGAAGGAAGTCTACACCATAAAAAGTTTGTAAACATCTGATAACATCAAATGAAGAAATGACCAGATAAATTAGTTACTACTTAGATTAATAAATTGAAAAAGCACAAGTGAATAAATAAGTGAATAAATGCACCCCCCCAAAAAAAATTAAGCAAACTGCATGTTGTGTCCCAACATGAATAGATTTTGTATACAAACTCGTATCAGCTGTTTGCATTAAATACCTGTACTGTGTAATTTGTGCGCTGTTGCATTGCGAACATCTATGAGCGCGACCTGAGCCACGCCACTGCCACTACGCACATCTGTAGTCTCTCCCCCCTCCCGCATAATAATCAAGAGCGTTGCGTGCGTGAATTACAGTACTGGATCGGGGGAGGGGGCGTAAGCACCCTATTTTTCGCCAAGCATTTTTTTTCCTCAGATGCCAGGAAAATGCATCTGAGACACTTAAATTTTCTACATTTCCTGGGTTTTTTTGTCCTTAGATGCCAGGAAAATGCATCTGAGACACTTAAATTTTCAAATTGTCTGGGTTTTTTGTCCTCAGATGCCAGGAAAATGCATATGAGACACTTAAATGTTCAAAATTTTATGTTTTTTTGTCCTCAGATGCCAGGTAAATGCATTTGAGACACTTAGTTTCTATTTTTTCTGGGAAAGGTCCCCCAGACCCCACGTCAGAGCTTCGCGCCTTCGGCACTCATAACCTGTTTTGGGTTTACGCACCACACCCCCTTCTCAAAATCCTGGATCCGGCCCTGGTATAATACATTAGTGAATAAATAAATGAATAAATAAGTGAATAAATGCACCCCCCAAAAAAAAACTGCGTGTTGTGTCCCAACATGAATATATTTTGTATACAAACTCGTATCAGCTGTTTACGACCCCACCTTTTTAGAACTATTTTTGCATCTAAAAATATCAAATGAAAACAACATGAGAAACCTTATCAATAAAATGATAATAATAAAAATAATATTAATAATAATAATAATAATGATAATAAAAATATTTGATTTACCAGAGAAATGATTTGATTTACAATTTTATTTTGTAAATTGTAAAGATTAATAAATTGTAAATTGTAAAGATTGTTATTTTGTAATTTGTAAAGATTTGATTTACAATTTTATTTCACCAGAGAACAAACTACCTTCTTAAATTGAGTTGGGTGTGTAGTTCTTATTAAAATGTTTTCATTAAACACCTGTACTGTGTAATTAGTGCGCTGTTCGTATTTTTAGCATACTGGACCAAAACGAAGAGGTATTTTTACCGCTTCAAAACAGTGGCTGTCCATTAAGTACACCTTCCGCTTCGCTCTTTTACTTTTCTTGAAACCAAGGGCCTGTGGTGATAGGTCAATGTAGATAAATAAGTGTTAAAAAGCCCGATCATTTTGTGTTTTGTGAGCCATTTTTCGTGGGAGCAGTGGGAGCAGAAAGTGACCAAATTCTACATAGAATGTTCTATAGCCCTGCGGCGGACCAAAGGGCTATAGTACTAGAGCTACATTACTGCGTGCTTATTTTGACGGATTTTTTTACATACTTGAAGTTGAAGGATATAAATTAGGATGAATACATCATAAATGATATATTTAAAGGCATAATAGGTCCTTTTATTATGTAATGTTAACGAATGCTAGAGTTACTGGCACCTTGTGTAGTTAAAGGATAATTGAAGTCAAATTTTATAACTTCTGTAACGTTTTTATACATAGATTAGAAATACATTCAATAACGTATTCCATTTCAAATCCGGCGCCCGCAGTTCAAATCCGCAGTAAGAAACACATGAATATTAGTCTAGGTCATGTGACGTCACAGCCCCCTTGTAGCGTCACGAATTTCGGCCCTTGATTTTAAACGCACTAGTCACGCACAAATAAGCACCAAGCTGATGACTGTATTCATGTAGTGGTTTACTGCAATATAAACAAACAATAATAACTTCGTTGGCTCTAGTACTTATACAGTGGCGCGAATAGTCGGATATCTACGGTAGACTAGGCAAGCTAAATCGAACATAAATCCAATGTTTGATACGATAAACATTCGTGTATACACATACACACACATAATAGCTATTCAAGCAAATTCCCCGTAGGGGCCTACATTCCAAAATACTTATTTATAACTTCTGACACTAAACCTACCAAATATTGCCGGTATCTCACCAAATTCGCTAAACTACACAAACAAACAATCTCCAACTAAATGCGCGCCAAGCCTCGCTTTGTTCTCTACTAAAACGTATCCTTTCTTCTGCGACAGCAGCGCCAACGCATTATACCTAGCGTCGCGCGCGCGCGTACTCATTACAGTCAATGTTGCGCTAAAGTCCTGTCGCTACAGTTCTTATTAAAATTTTGTAAATAAATCATGTAAGTATTTGCGTTAATAGGAAGAAAATGTTAAACAGATAAAGATAGAAAAATACAGAAAACAGGAAAAGATTTAGAAAACAGATGGGATTCGATCCACCGACCTTCCATACTTCACGCTTGCTCTGTACTCGATACGCTATTGAGTCATATTGTATTTAAGTATTTTGGATGTGCTATATGTATATGACGACACTGCGAGTATTTGCTCTTACGAGTACGAAAAAAAAACTCGCTGCCCGCTCACGTGATTTTTTTTTCCTAGGTCAATCAAGAACACAGGGCTGTAGTGAGCGCTGCTATTGGTTGAGCTTGTTTCGTCGCTTAATGACGTCACAGTGTTGTAATATACATAGCACATCCAAAATTCTTAATTCAAATATGACCTCGCTACCGCTCGGGCACTATACCTTCCCTCAGCAACACTATGAGAGCATAGTGCCCCCAACAACACGCATTAATATATAAATATCAGGCGCGGATTTAGGCCGGTTTGCACCGGTTTCCAGAAACCGGTCACAGGCTGGGTATCTTCAGAATTGACCCTCAAAATTCACCAGAATGCACCAAATATAACCTAATTTTTAAAGAATTTCCGGGGGGCATGCCCCCGAACCCCCTTGCTCAGAACTATGGAAACTAGTCACCCAAACCCTCTGGATCCGCCCCTGAATATAGAAATTATTCAGCACTTCAGTGTAACTATAATATCCAAGTATCGTGTGAGCACCGCGTGCGTGCTGGTCTTGTCTGTGACAAAACTTATCGATTTAACTCTCCAATAGCGTCTCTATTATACAATATAGTTTCGACAGTGTGAACCTATATATACATAAAATACGCGCACACTGCAGTCTAGTTTCATCATTACATTTATCGTGTGTGCGATGCTCACCTTAATTACCTGACCGGTCGTTGGTCTGACTGAGAAATAAATCGCGTCTCCTTTGCGAGGGGCTGCAGCACACGCCACACGTTGACAGTTTCCATGCTCTCTGGACGATCTGCAGGCGGATATCCGCGCGAAGCGCTCAAACGCCCGCTCGCGGCGCACTTTTGCAATTTC